GATATCTAACTGGACAAGGTATTGTAGCCTGTAAATTGTATTCTGTGTCTGTCTGGGGTTTTTCGCAAAACTATCAGTAATTTCTTTCCAGTATCATTTGAAAACTTATTTTATTGAAATCTACAAATTTGGTACAATAATATTTCAGCACAATTACTTTCACAAAAAAGTGTATACGAAGTCATCTGCACACCAAATATGCATGAAAACACTCTTGTAAAATTTCAGAAAGTCAGATTATTTATTCTGTAAAGCCCAATATATCCTGACAGTTCAGTGTAATAATTTTCTATATCTATATTATGTAATAAAAATAATGGCTATCTGATTGATCCATTCAATCAGAACTTTTGACATGGCTAAAGATCACCAAATCTCTCAATATTTCTCGAATTCTTATAAAGAATTATATTAATATACCTGCTGGTTTCAGTTGTTGACTAAAATGTGTGTGTGATATAAAGTTGTGTAATCATTTCAAATTTGTTCCATCTATTCTATTTCATTTGTCTAGTAGAGATTTTTCATTGATTGGTTTGAATTGACTCCCTATTAAATTAGTAATTATGTTTCGACAATTAGTGTTCATGAATGGCAATCCTTGATGCAAATGAGCCAGGAAACATGCTCATAAACCATAATCTCTGTATTAAGCTTTACAACCTGCGAGATGGATACACGAGATAAACAGGATATCAATCATGACAACAAAAATTACAGTAAATCTGAATTCTGCCTACATTAGAAAACAAAATAGAATAAATCATCAATTAACTAGAAAGCTGGGTTTATTGTAGGGTCTGTGGTTGAACCAAACTAACAATTCTATGGGTGATTATTTCAGTATAATCAGTGAATACAGTATTCACTTTTTACGAAAAACTAAAAAAAGAAATTGAAATGAGAAAATATGATAAACTAAATATCAAACCAATCTGGCCATCAAGAGAAATTTGAAAATAAAATTTGACAAAAATATTCACTAAAAATAAAGACGATAAGGTATCATTATAAAATGAACTATACCCACCCAAGGCTTGTATAGAAAGCAGGAACATGAGATGTGTATTTTTCTTCACAAAGATCCAAATAAAATTTTTGTTTTAAATACAAAACAAGCAGCCTATCGGCTGAGATAGCTCCGCTGTTAGCAATGCACATTTCAATTAAAGAACTGAAGACATCATTAGAAAATGAACAATATGAATAGTATCAAAGCAATCGGACTTACAGTTTTTAACAAGAAGTTGAAAATATCACTTTTTACCAAAAATTACAAAAATATTCACCAAAATAAATTAATTAGAGAATTGAAGATATCATCACAAAACGAGCAAATCTGAGAGAGGTCCACATGTAGTACCTATAAATGTAATATCAAAGCAATCGGACTTACAGTTTTCAACAAGAAGTCGAAAATATCACTTTTTACCAAAAATGACAAAAATATTCATCAAAATTAGAGAATTAAAGATATCATCATGAAATGAACAAATCTGAGAGAGGTCCACATGTAGTACCTATATATGTAATATCAAAGCAATTGGACTTGCGGTTTTCAACAAGAAGTCGAAAATATCACTTTTT